CAACTAAATTTTACCCACTGATCACTCTCAAAATGAAAGCTGAGATGAATGTATAATGTGAAGATCTACTGGATATTGTAACATCACAATAAAACTTTGCTTTACTTAAATAAGCTAAGCACATCAGATGGAATCAGAAAACCCTCAAACCAGTCTATTTCCTAGTCTGAGTAATTAAACAGTTCTATATAGCATATCTTTGGGCTACATGCTACAGAAGCCCAAGGATATAATGAAGCTTACTCCTAAGCTTACAAAGGCTATGGATTTTACCAGCACATCACATTAGCAAATACACATCGGCCAAAATAATTCTCCCCTATGCTTACAGTCCCAACAATGCAGGATCGTGTTGATTAGTGGATCAACTACTGTAAGAAAAAGGTGTGAAAGATTTAGAAAGTTGAGAGATAAGATTAAAAAAAAATTATACGGGGTGGTCCATATCATCCAGGAACAGATTCCACTCATCACAGAAAGCTGTGAACACTTCCTACATACTAAGATAGTTTCAAGCATTTACCAGGTCATCTTTACCTCTACTGTTCAGCTCTAGGGAAGAGAAAGGAAAAAAAAAAAAAGCACTATATAGATAATCAAAGATTTCCCAGATGTTCTGATTTTACAATTACATTTCAAGACCCTCCCCTAGCATACCAGCCACCAAAGGATGCGGTATTTCTGTAGGAAAAGACTCACAGAAGTCAAGCAGAGAAGATCACAGAGCACTGTCCTGTCCAAGCACCCCATAATGTGAAGAGCAGTAACAATTTAGGACTGAGGCTGCAGAACCTAACATGAGCTGTGCTGCAAAACGCTTGTAAATATTTGTCTTCAGTATTTTCCTACAGGGACAATACTGCACTGATAAACACACAGCATCCCCAGCTTACACCAACACTACTATTTACTGGCTTATACTGTGTTTTCTTCCTTCATTAATCACTGTAAAATGTATTTCATTGAGAGACAGGCAGGGGATAAATGAGACTAAATCTCTCTGAATCGAGCACCTACTCTAGTTGCTTTCGGAAGTACCAGGATATCAGAATTTGCCTGGAACACAGCGGCACGTGAGGCTGACTGCAGAAGCCCAGCAGGATGAGACACGTCACGCTGCTTTGTTGACATGGACTCATGACTCGTCATGCTGCAAGACAGGAAGCATCATTTAATGTACAGCGAGCTGGCGAGTACCCCAGTTTTGAAGATGAGTCCAGCTTGACACAGGACTGTCCACTTGAGCTAGCACAGACCTGAGTTATTGATTCACCACTCTGCCTGAGCAGCTACTCACAAGTCAGGTAGGGATCCTCTGTGCTGCTGCCTGCTGATATTCTGAAGTGCCCTTTAGTGCTCTGCGACTCCTGCCTCCTCAGTTTGCCTGAACCACATTCATTGAATTGCTTTTGCTGATATTACTGTCAAAGTTTTCATATGACAGAAGTACAATAGGCCATTGGTGCTACTTTTTTGTCTAAGTAAAAAAAAAACTAAAGCTAAAACCCAACAAGTTATATTTAAGCTTATAAAGGAAAAAAAACAAGTAGTACAATCAATCATTTTGTTTGTCATGAAAGCCAAAATAAATCCTGGGCCTTTTCTGACTTAATGGAAAAAGCAGTGGGCCTGAACTGTTTGGTATGGCCATTAATGGCTCAGAAGACGGCAGAGAGGGCCCCTCAGCAACTGCTCCGGGCAGAGTTAGGAGGGCTGCGGTGCTGCCACTCCCAGGGCAGCCCAGGGAAGCAGAAACATGGGAACAGATGGGGAAAGGCAACGTCCTGCACGTGGGGAAGAACAAACCCCAGCACCAGCAGTCCTGGTGGGTGGACAGCAGGAACATGGGTCTGACGGGGCTGTCGACGGTCCCGGGCTGTGTCAGGCCGAGTGGAGGTGCCAGGCCCAGCTCTGGGTGCTCCAACCCAACACACAGCACAGGCCACCTGCAGCAAGGCCAGCGAGGAGCCACGGGCACAGCTGAGGGCTTGCAGCAGAGGCCAAGCCTGTTTAGCCTGGAAAAACATGAAGACCTGGGGGAATCTTATCAATGTGTGTAAATACCTGATAAGAGGTAGTAAAGAAACCAGCAGACTCTTCCCAGTGGCCCCCAGTGAAAGGGCAAGAGGCCACAGGAACAAACCAAATTACGGGAACTTACATCAGAGCAATGTGCTGAGCAACCTGCTCTAGGTTACCCTGCTCGGAGCAGGAGGCTTAGCCTAGACGATCCGAGCTCCCTTCCGACTTGGGCAACTCTGTGAACCCAGGTCAGAAACAACGTAGCCTTTGATCTATTTCCCTATCTGTTCCGCTCTGTACCAATCAGATAAACTTTTCCAGCAGAAATTAATATTGGATTAAATCTGCTGCCAATATTTTTCCTTCCCACAGCTGCCAACTCTCCAAGCCAACCAGCAGCTCTGGGAAGGTGCTTAGCTCTCCTTCAGATCAGCTGCCTCCAAAGCAACTCAGCCCAGCAAACCCAAAGCTTATCAGAGCCTTCCCCCAGCCCGCAGCCCAGATAAGAGTGTCTGCAGAAGTGCTCATCCCTGTTTCCAGGTATTCCCTCTTTTCAGCCGGGGTTTTACTCTCTTCAAGTAGCTACCTCCATCTAACAATTATTTATGCTTCTAAAGATATGGACAAATTATCTAGCTTCCTGTCATCACTTCTTTATTAGTGCTTCAGCAAAGAACTGTGACAACAATGTCAGCATTCACTCATGTTTTAACTCGCTGGCTTGCACATTATGTGCTTTCAGGAGAGACCAGCACAATTTCTGTCATTTCTATCATGCATCTTCTTGGAAAAAGGATAGGACCTTGTTGTCCTTGACAAAGGGGCAAGGGAGACGGGCGGGAGGAGAACAGCAGAATAAAATATTTAAGTATTATTCTGTGCACTTAACTGCTTCCCCGGGTTCAGCTAAACAAGGCAATTCATTTCTCTTGAGCTGAAGTACTGGTGAGCGGCTGGGGCACTTCCAGTGCTGAAGGGTCCACCATTGGGCTCCGTGTCAGGGATTTCCCTCTGCAGTTTTAAGCACTTTCTGGTTTGGAAGGCGCCCCGTGGAACATGCTGCAAGCACAGAGCTATTGCACAACTATTATCTAGTGATGTTGGCATGAGGAAGTCAGAGGGAGGAAACAGGAAGGATATAAATACAAGACGACGATCTTTTATATTTTAACCACATGAGGGAAAAATACCAATGCCCAAAGCCCTAAGAAAATATCTTAACTGTCACACAGGTAACCACTAAAAAAATGCTATGTATTAGTTTCACACAGAGTTGGAATAAGCTAGAAATAAAAATTCATGGGCTCAGTCCCAGAGAGCTTTAGGTACTTGGCTCCTGCAGAAGGGAGCAGGATTTGACCTGCACACGATTCTGTGAACTTTAGTCCTAGCACTCATTTCCCCTTGCTGTCTTTTCACCTGCACTACTAAAATATTTTGATATATGACTCAGGAACATTCAAGGAGATATATCCAAGAGATGTGGAGCAGATAGTTTTTGTTTCTTTTTAACAAATAAACAAAAAAAAAAGATACCATTAAAGACTACAGGAACAACCTCGAAGTTGAATGAATACTGAGAAGCATCAATAAACAACACTTTTCCTAAGTAATTGTTTCAAGAGTTTCACTGCAAGGGTGTTTCACTTTTTTTCCCCCCCTATTTAAATATTTAATTTCCCAATACTACAAACAACATTCCATTCTCTTCTGTATGTTTGGTTAAGATGTCTGAGGGAAGAGCCCTTGAAAAATATCCTAAGATTCTGTCCAAAATAATCTCTACCTTTTAAATGGCTGGCACTCTGACAACTCATCTGAAGTCATAACCAACAAAACAAAAACTCGCTGATTCTCCCTGCCAGTAATTTTTCAGGAATGCAAGAAGCAGAGCTGCGATAACAACTTGCGCACATCTAAAATGCAGCCTTAAGATGCTCTTCTTACCATTAAATGCCATCACATTGCTCCGGCTGCGGAAGGACTAGAACACTCTTTAAAGATATATTAGAATTTGAGGCTGATACTGCTAGGTTAAAGTACTTGAAGCGGACAGGAAAGAAGCTTTTGCAGGTAAAATTGGAATCAGCATTTTGTCCTTTTCCTTGCTGTTGGGAACCAAGCGGAGGCAGCAGGGAGGGTGGAGAACGCGGACATGCCGAGCAAGAACATGGCTAGAAACGCTGCAAAACAAACACAGCCCAACGCCCCGCGCCTGCGGGAGCGCAGCACGAGCTGGGCACCGAGAAAGGAGAGAAAGGGGGAAAGTTCCCCCGGCACCGACAGCTCCTGCACGCGGGGAGCGCCCACACAAAGGACGCGCCGCCGCGGGCGCGGGGCCGCCGCTCGGAACAAAGCTCCGCGCCGGCCCCGGGCCGCGGCCCCCGCTCGCCCTGCCCGGCGCCGGACACCCCCCCGGAGCCCAGCGCCAACGCTGCCCTTGCCGCAGGGCCCGCGCCGCCGCCTCCCCCGCCGGGCCCTTTATGCTCCGCAGCTCCGCTCCATCTTCGGGGAGAGCCAGGGAAGCGGGGATCCATGTTGTGCCACCGCCACCCCGCCTCCCCCTCGTCCCTTAACAACGCCACGTAGCTGCCGCTCCTCAGCGGCGAGCTCGGCGCGGCCCAGCGACCCACCGCGATAGCGGCGATAACAACGGCCGTTAACGGCACAGCCCCCCCGGCCCGGCGCCGGGACCCACCTGCCCCCTCGGCCGCCGCCTCCCGCCGCCTCGGGGCCGCCCCCCGTCCCCTCGGGGCGGGCGGCCCCGGGAGAGCGGCGCGTGCCGGGCGGCCCTGGCGCGGGGGCGGGAGCGGAGGAGGGCGCCCGGCCTCGCCGGGGCCCCCGCGGTGGGTGGGTGGGTGTGTGTATGGGGGGGGTGGGCGGCTGGACAAGCGCCCCGCTCCCCGCCGGCGCTGCCCCAGCGCGGCGGCCGCTGCCTCGGCGCCCGCCGCCGGTGCGAGCGGCGGCGCGGCACCCACCTTGAGCGTGGGGTACTCCTGCACCTTCAAAGTCATTGAGAGCTGGGCAGCTGACTCCTGCACCGCCATCTTGGAGCGGGCACCGGCCTCCCCCCCGCGCCAGCCCTCCTGCGGCCCGCCCCGCCCGCGGAGCCACCTACCGCGCGCGCGGCATGCCGGGAACTGCGGCGCCGCCTCCGCCCCATGGCTGGGGCGCGCGGGCTGCACCAACGGGCTCGCCGCCCCTCTGCCTCCCCCCGCCGCTGCTACCGCGTGGTACACTCCGCGGGAACCGTGCAATCCACCAATAGCAGCGGCTTTTACGCACACCCCCGTCCCGAACGCTTTGACATCCCCTCCTAAGCTTGAGATGCCGCACCTGATTGGTCCACCCGAGGGAATGGGCGGGAGCGGTTGGAGGCGCGGACAAATCGAGTAGGATGACGACACCGAGGCGGGCGGGGCGTTCAGGGCTTGATTGACACATGGCCGCAATAGAGAGGCCTTTCCCCTGGGCCAATCAGCGTCTGCAGCAGCGCCGAAATGGGCGGGACCTAAAAGTAAATTTTGCCGGTGACTCCGAAGCGGCCGTTTAACAACCCCTGCCGCGGGAGGGCGGGGGGCGGGGCGAGGAGGCGGGGCCCGGAGGCGGGCCCCGCCTTGACAGGCAGGCGGTCGAGCCAATGGCTTCGCGCGTCCCGTCTGACGGGCGTGAGGCTGCCCCAATGGGCGACCGCAGCGGGGCGGGGCGGCGGCGCGGCGTGCGGCCGTGTGTATATGGGCCGGGGCAGGGCGGGGGGCCGGGCCCTAGTAAGTTCCGCGGGGAGGAGAGAGCGAGTGGGAGTCAGTGAGGCGGAGGCGGCGGGAAGCGGTTTAAATAGCGGAGACAGCGTGAGTGCCCTTCCCCCCGGCTCCCCGCGCGCCGCCGCCCCGCGGGGCGCCGCGCCCGGGCCGCGCCGCGCTCACTGTGCGCGCCCGGGCGGGAGCGGCTGCCCCGGTCCCGCCTTCCCCGGGGCTGGGAGGGCACCGGGTTCGGGGGGAGAAAAGGGGAAGAGTTTGGGTGCTTTCAACTTTTTATTAATCGTTTAATTATTTGGTTTTGCCGGGATGGGGCTGCGGGTGCCCTCCGGCTGCCGCCTGCCGCGCTCGCAGCCGCCCCCGCGGCGGGACGGGGCGCGTAACGGCCGGGCGCGTGGGAAGGGCCCGCTCCCGCGCAGCGCGGCGGGGCAGTGAACGCTCGGGAAGCCGCTCGCTTCTCCACACACTCTGTTAGGTTATATATATGATCATATCTATATACCTGTGTATATATTTGTATTAGTTCTCAGTGTTGGTGCAAAATCTGCCCTGATACCGCGGGGGCTGTCAGCACCGTGGGGCTCAGCACGAGTTTTGTCCCTTGGCTCCTCCCGAGCCCGGCGAGGTGCCGCGAGCTGCTGGCCTCTCATCCCCGAGCTCCACAGCTGCTTCTTCCTGCAGAGCTTCTTGCCCTGGGCACTGGTGGTGGTACCACACAGGGTGCTGGGCGAGAAGACCTCTAACCCTTATCCACTTGTAGCTGCCTTTCCTTAACTTTGTGGCTGTGTTGCTTTAGTAGGAGACTGTAGAGAAACACCAACGTTGCCAGAAAGATCAACACTCCGACAGCTGCAAAGAGCAACCCCTCTTAACTGGGCCGTGCTTCTTAAAATGCTAGATAACCATTACTCACAACGTATGTGGGGCCAGTGGCGGCAAAAACATCCCTCTGGCCCGAATGGCTCATGGTGAATGGAAGAAAACGTGTGAGCGCAAGTAGGCGAGTGCCCTGCTCGGATTTGGGCTGCAAGCTGCTTATTCCTGTTTACTCCCGGTTGCGTTTCTGCCCTGGCATTGCCTGGTGTTGACCACAATCAGCAAACATAAGCTTAAATGTAATATGCCCAGCCCGCACCAGGTGCAAAGGCTTTGTTTAAATGTATATTAGTGAAATGGGCTGTATTAGCTACACCTGGGTTTCACATGCAAGTCCAGACATGATCTTGGGGCCAGATTCTGCAAGAGGATTTGTGTAAGGAGGATTTTGACTCCATTAAGATGCCGTGTGGGGACTGGTTTACCTGAACTCATCCTGTGGAGGGCTGGAAACTTAGCTCAGCTGCTGCTGTGATTGCAAGCACCTTTGTGTAGCAAAGACACTCCTTTTTTTTTGCAAATTCTTTGCATCACATTTGCATAATCTGCTTTAAATTGCCTGTAAACACAAAATGTCTCTCTAAATATGAGCTTAATATTCCACCTTATTTCTGTGACTAAACAGCTTGAACTTGGCACTTCTTAACTCTTTAGGCCTGTATGTAACGGTGGTAGTGAGTAAACATGTGACTTCCTGTGTAATTCACCAAGTTTTGTATATTTCTGTCCAAAAAATCTTACTCGCACTGTATTTTTATATGTATCATCCTTATCGGTGCTCTTTATATAATAGCTAATTGAATGCAGTGCAATTAAGGAATAATTCCTTAGATGGAGTTTTGTGCTCAGGCTGGATCAGTCTTTAAAGCGGAGAATTATTAGTGAAGATTTGTCAGACATTAGTAGCCCAAGTTAAAGGTTTTGCTTAATGGAACAGATGGCCAAGCAACCATCATGTCAGAGAAAACAGCATGCATCCCATGTATTCTTAGTTTAACACAAGAGGGAGCATGTCTAATCTTTAACCTTTAAATATTGCAACTTCAGAGAGGAAGGTTTAATTGTTGAGTATCAACTAATTTATGTTCTAGGTTGCATGTGCAAATATTGATACAATCTATGCATATTTTTGGCGTGTTTTCAACATTAGGTCACAGCTGTTGATTTATAATATAAACGTTGTCATGGTGAAAGTGGAGATTAGAACTAGGCTAATGATCTTCTGAACTTGTTAAAATCTGCAGTTTCCTGTTGAATTTAACAGAATATTTATGGTTATTGCAAACATTCAGAGATTGTACTGTATTTTTAAATAATTGATGAATGCGTTTCTTCTGCTTTACTTAACTTTCAAATTTAGAAAGCTCAAGTTTAATTTTGTCTAATTATCAATACGGCTTTGCTTTTACAGCTCTTGTAAATTCTCCTGCTTTGTTCTTAAATAGGTAATATAAATTTGGCTCTATTAAGAAGGTTCGCATACCATATTTTGTTCCTTTTTTCCTTGTCTCCTCCTGGTGTAGAAGAAGGACTAACAGCTTCCATTTCGTATCTCATGTCATTGTCCAGTTGAGTCATAGTCTATTAATGTTTGTCCTCATTTAGTGTTTTATTAATGAGCACTAAGAACTGGCTGAAATTAAGGAGTGCTGACAGAATTCTCCAGACCTTTAGGAGAATCTTTGTTGGTTGTATTTGAAAGTGTCTTGAAAGTGTGTCTGATAGCAGTATGCTTTTCTCTGGATTTTCCTGGCAGGGAGCAGCAAAAACTTGCTTGTACTGAGCAGCTGGATGCTGATTATCTGGAAGAAGGTACTCATGGTGCCCAACAAGGTGCTGATGCCCAACGAGCTCCTCCTCGACATATGTTGGGTGCACCAGTGTGTGCTTATAGGAAAGAAATGTGAGATGACCTGCACTGCAGTCAAGATAGCTTGAGATGGTCGGTCTCATGGTCCAAGCGTTAGGGTTCTTAGAAGACTGAAGAGTGGGGTTTGGTGAATGATAAGCTCAGATATTTTGATTGAAAAAGATGGGTTTTTTTTCTGAGTTACTAGTAGGAACCCTATTCTGTGGATTGCTATCTATATTACGATTTGAGGAGTCTCCTCTAAAGCGAGAAATTCTGAGCAGGCAGGGGAGCACCTTTTGATGCCAACGTTGACTCGTGGAGCTTTGTCGGGATCAGATGAGCTCTGCACGTCTTGGCCGCGCGTGTCAGTCAGAAGGGGAAAGCTCCACGCTTTGGTTTTCCAGCTCAGCAGATTGTGGCTGCTGCGCAGTTTTGTATTAAGTTGCACCTTTCTACTCTTCCGAAAAGTATTGTGAGTGTGCAGCTCCTGCTCTGTTGTAACTTAGCACTTACAATTGAAAAACTTACCGATGCTCCTTGGTCCTGTGGGTTGCCTGGTGCTTTTATCTCTATTTTATTTGTATAGGTGTTTTAATTTCTGTGTTTGAGTGGGAATTACCCCTCCAGTGTGTAAAAAGAACACGAAAACCAGCAAACACCCCCAGCAAGCCCCAAACGCTGCTCGGTGACTGCAGTGGGACGGAGACCGGCCCCAGGTGCCAGCGCGGCTGTCCCCACGGAGCAGCAGTTGCGGATCAGGCAGCCGGGTTTGCCAGGTGCTGGGTTTGCTCCCGGGCTGGGGGGCACTGCAGGGTCCCCTGGGGTCCCCAGCCTGTCCCCCTGCACGAGGCCTGACTGTGGGCACAGGCCGGGGGACCCTGTGCCCTGCAGGGCCTCCAGGCTGTGTTTGCACAAGCACATTTTTACATGTTGAAGTCTTGAACAATTTTTGTGTCTATATAGAAATACATATATATTTTTAAGAGAGTAACATTTCCAATGTGGGTGAAATGCCTGTGAAATTTTATTTAAAAAAATCTCAAAGTTTTGTTTTCCAAAAAACCCTTTTTTTAATTTAGGGCTTGATATACAGTGCACAGACTCTTGTGCTCCTGCAGCTTTCTGGATGGGCTATTCTTTTTATTGGGCTATTATTATTATTATTTAATGGAAGAGAGGAGCAGTTTTGTGGCCATAAGCATCGATTATTAGTGTTATTTTATTATTATTTTGCTCCCTGAGCTGCAGCCCCTGCAAGACGGGGGCCGGGCTCGGCGAAAGCGCCGAGGCAGCGCGAGGCGCCGCGCGGCAGCCCCGGTCCCGGCC